CTTTGGCTTTTATATATTTCAATTTCAATTTGAGAACATGGCGAGTTATCTACATTTACTACAACTTCTCTCTACTTTCTCTCTCTAACCTTTTCTCTTCTATTCCCGTGCTCTTCAAGAGGAGGGCGCCTGCTCCCTTGAAGTAATGACTACGTCCCAAACCCCTCGGACCCAAACGCCCTTTATCGTTTGGGCGCAAATAGTTGTGAAGATGTTAATTACACGATTACTTGGGCAAATTAGCTCTAAGACTATGTTATAAATCGTTTGATTTTAGTAATTCCTGTGATTGTGAGAAGGTTAATGTGGATGTTACATTTATACCTAATTGATTTGTATCGGACCGCACCGAAGCAAATTGACATTTGAACCCAATAATAGGGGACCAAATAGAATATTTTTTTCCGTTGAATCCAAAATAGAATATTGTTCAAACTTTGGCCCAATGCATTTTAAAAACACTGAAGAAAATAGAGTGAACAGATACTAAAATCAGATTAAATCAGACAAATTGAACACATTTATAGTCGAATTCTTAATCCAAAATTTCTTTTACTAGCATCGATACCAGAGTTGGACCATTGCACAAGTATACCACTCTCTTACGCATAGTTGTCACACAGATGGCATGCCAACCAGTTGAAATTGGTTCCGCCAGTGTCGGTAACGAAACAGGTGTGAACACTACCGGTATGACCGATATGATCGATTTACGACTTCTAAGCAAAATGATGTCGTTTTAATGAATTTAAAAGTTAAATGTTGATGTTATTTGTTGGATTCAAGTATAAAAATTTAGATATTAATGATAAATGTTGTATTTAAATATGTGTACAGTATAACCTATCTTAATTAATAATCGATAAATTAATAACCTAGTATAAATTAATAATTTCTCTGATCCCGACTTGGGCCGGTGTAAAAAATGACAAAATTCAATAAAATAATAAGATAATAATTTTTGAGAACCAACCTACATAAATACTTGTATTTTTAACTCTATAAATTAATAATTATAAAAATACAATTCATCTAGAAACTTATAATATAATTAAGATAATCTAAAAAATATGTATATATAGTTGTTTTGTTTATTCTTGAAGTTCAAGTCTAATAGAAGTTCATCTTGAAGAATGGATCCTACTTTGTTAAGTTTGCCTACAAGGAGGCCTAGCTACAACAGCCCTAGCTATCACGCAAGAGGAGGCCGACCAGGAGGATGATTCGACAGAAATGGGAGCAGAGGTTGAATTTTATGACCTCATGAATTGGGAAAGGCTGTGGCGCTTGGTGATTCCACCAAAATCAAAATCTTCGTATGGAAAATGGTTCACGACATCCTACCTACGGGGAAGAACATTGAAGGGAGGAAGAGGGAGGCATCTGCAGAATGCCCATTCTGCCATTTAGATGAAACCCAAAACCATATCTTTCAGGAGTGCCAGTGGGCTATTCGAGTGTGGCGACCCTCGGATTTCAGACCACTGTTTGAATTAGAGCCAAACCAATCCATGGGAAGCTGGTTGTGCGAGATTATGGAAAAGGTGGACAATGATTCCCTAGGTCAATTGGGAATGATTCTGTGGGATATGTGGAACGAGAGGAACAATCAATTGTTCAACAAAAAGAAGGCAGAAGAGTGGGAAATTGTGCTTAGGGCGACTAATTACTGGGAGGAGTTCAATCAACTTCAGGGCAAGGCCATAGAGGGGAAGGAGAAGGAACCACGAACCTGGATTCGACCGCCTGAAGGTTGGATGAAAGTAAATGTTGATGCGGCGGTGCTGGAAGGGGGGATCAGAATGGGAGCAGTCGCCAGGGATTCCCATGGCAAATTTGTGATGGCACCGGTAGGTAGAGAGCGACGGCCATGGCCGCCGAAACTGGCGGAGTTACGGGCAATCGAATTCGGGCTGCAGATGGTGGAGGAGAATTTTGGGGCGGTGATTGTGGAATCAGACTGCATGAATGCTATCCTCAAACTGAAGAAAATGGGGAGCTCTCGACTGGAGGAAGGAGTACGTGTACGAGAAATTCAGGAGAAGGCGAACAAAACCGGACCAGTCACTTGGAGTTTTGGAAGAAGGGAGGGGAACCAAGCGGCCCACTTTATGGTCCATCTTAGGTGGAATTGGGATAAAACTGAAAAATGGGTTGGCAGGTCACTCATCTGTCTGTTAAACTGTTTGGACTCTGATGCTTTAGCCCATTAATAATATTTATATTTCCTATATAAAAAAGTTCATCTTGAACTTTCCTCATTGCACTCCAAGTCTCCAGTGTTGTCTTCTCTAATTGCATCAAGTATTTTTGAAGAGCTGATGCGGCTTTAAGTACTTTTTTTCGCGTGACCAGTTCGAAAGGTGTTGAATCGTCATCTCCTTCATCCTCAATTGAACCCCCAATGACATCAACCACAAATTCTTTTAACATTTGTGTCGCGATACATTCATCATTTACCTGGATACTCCAACAAATGACTTACATCCATCTTATTACGATAACCCATACCATTAATCATATCACATGAACTTGAAATGTTTGGAAGATATGATGAACGTACATCATAAGAAAAAACACTTTAAACTACTAATTATTAATTTATTGATTAATTAATAACTACTATAAATTAATAAGTTTCACGGTCCTAACTATATATGAATTTATAGAGGTTATACTATACTTGTTATTTTATTTGGAATGTCGTATTTTATTTAAATATGAATAAAGATGTAATTAAATTGTCTCCAAATATGTTTTTATACATGATGAAATTCATTTGATGGAATTGGATGAGATAGCATGCCTACCACTAAAAGGGTTGAAAAAATGACACCCTCTATTAATTATAGGTTTTTAAGATAATTAATTTGTGTTTCATTAAATAATCTGTACGAATTAAAAATACATATTAATTACTTTCCTTTTTTAGTGCACTGGTAGTTGTATCAGTGCAATGGTATTAGTGTACAAGTGCAATGGTAGTTCCAAAAAAGGAACGTAATTAATATAAGTTCAGTATACATGTGCAATGATAGTTGTATCAGTGCAATGGTAGTTAAAAAAAAGGAATGTAATTAAGATGAGTTTTTAATTTCCAAAGATTATTAAATGCAACACGAATTTAATACAAAAAATAACTATAATTAATAGGAGTGTCATTTTTCCAACCCCTTAGAAGAGTTAGCATGCTAATCGATCCCTGATGTTAATTTTTTTTAAACATTTTTGCATATTTAGTTGGACCGACATGAATCGAAAGAACTAGTTATACCATTAATCGAATCATTCCACATGTTAAACCAGCATAATGGTATAAATCGGGGTTATATGTATAATATGCCCCTCTACTATGTCGTTTTATCAAACATGCACCTCTACTATATTTTACATCAAACATGCCTCTGTACTTTAGAAAAATGATCAAACATGTCATTCTGTTAATATTTTCACCCAAAAACGGTCAACCACGGTCGTACCTTGGTTTGGACGACACAAATGTCTAAAATATCCCTGGTAATTTCACTTTAGAATTTTTTAGGTTTTTTTGTAGAGCCAATTACCTCTAATAATTTCACTTTAACGAGACCTAGAATAATAAAATGGGGGACAAAACTGACATTTTTCCTCATTTGCCGATATCGGGTCGTCTACATCTCGGTTCAACCATGGTTGATGATTTTTTTAATGAAAATTTTAACAGAAGGACATGTTTGATAATGTTTCCAAAGTACAAGAATATATTTAATATAAAAAATAGTAAATGGACATGTTTAATAAAACTATGTGGATAGGGAATTGATAAAGGTCGTCCTTAAAATTACTATTGATCGTCCTAAAAAATAACAAAGTTACACTTTTAACCTTTTGGCATTTTTAGCAAACAAACATCACTTTAACTAAAAAAATGAAAAACATTCAATTTCCCACACTCTCGAATTCATCGTTGACATTCTCGAGTCGTAATCGTTGAGAATACGTCTGAATCATGAGTAGCGACTCCGACGAGGTAAAAATCTGATTTTTTTTTCAAAAAAAATTCCAAAACCCCTCAATCGAAGCCAATTTTCGGTTGTACCATGGCTCAACCTAAGGCAATTTTCGGTTGTACCATGGACCAACCGAAAATTGGCTTCGTTTGAGCCATGGTGCAACCGAAGGTGATTTTCGTTTGAGCCATGGTGCAACCGAAGGTGATTTTCGGTTGGTCCATGGTACAACCGAAGATTGCCTTAGGTTGAGCCATGGTACAACCGAAAATTGGCTTAGGTTGAGCCATGGTACAACCGAAAATTGGCTTCGGTTGAGGGGTTTTATGTTTTTTTGGATTTGTTTGGTTTATATCAATAATTTTCTATTCTTTTACTACGATTTATGATTCGGTCCATAAGATAATTTGTTGAATTTTGTTTTATATATTTTTTTTAGATTTATGGAAGGGGAGGAGTTATTTGTTTTGTGTTTGATTTTGAAATTCAAAATGGACAATTTGGTAAATTACATATTAAGTTAGGACGATGGTTAGTAATTTTTAGGACGACCTTTAACCATTCAGTATTATACCTATAAGGGGTCGTTTGGATGGAGTATTTGTATGAGTTATTTAGGTTCAAATAACTCACAATGAGTTATTTGGACGCAAATAACTCGTTTGGCACCGTTTTACTGAAATGAGTTATTTGGACAGTGAGTTATTTACAAATAACTCAAAACGAGTTATTTGAAATAACTTATACTCATGTGTTATTTCGAAATAACTCGTTTTATCACTCTGCTTTTACCAAATACCACATGTCAAATACCATATTTGCATGGTTCAACCAAACGAGATACTTTATTTCAATTACCACTAAAATAACACTGAAATACCACATGAGCAATAAATGAGTTATTTGACTCTACAAATACCACATTGACAATTAACCCATCCAAACGACCCCTAACTCAATAAAACAACTTGCTCTAAACGTCCGACGTCTTACCCAAACGACTACCCTGCAAAAATATTGAAGTCCTAGCTAATGCCAACCGTCGGATCACTGATGTTAATGTCCACAATTGGAAGTGTAGGCCGCTTGACCAGATCAAGCACGTGATCGTCGAACCTGCTAGAGATCATCCTGATTCTACTCTCACCAGTTTCTCCTCTAGCACACTCTTCCTACCCTCTCGAACCCTAATTCCGGAACTCACTTGTGAGCTCCTCATTCTTCCGTTCTTCGTCGAATCTCAGGAAGGTAAGCTAATTTGATAGCTGCTGATCTCCCCTCCAGCAATTCTCAAGTTCCTATTTCGTCAGATTGTTTCTTTCCCCGGTAATTTACTGCTCCTCACATAGCTCGGCGGCTTGTTTAGTAGGTTATAAATTGGTTTTGAAGTAGGAATTTATGTTACAGTTAGTAGATTGACTTCAAAGTATGAGGTGATTAGAGTCGGACAAATTTGGCAAGTCGGTTTGGCGCAACTAAAAGGTTATACGGCGCTAGTTGTTTTAGGTAATCCTACCGAAGGAGGTTTTATCTGGACTGGTTGGCTGCGATGGTATAATCTGGGACTTAGATGGCCAATCACTGCCAGTGTTTGATCCAAATGGTTTGGTGTAGGCTAGTGAGTAAATCAACTAGGATATGGATTTGGGGTTTTGAGGACTTCGTGTATTTGATTAGTAATACACAATGAGCTCAAGTTCTGTGTCAAATTGTTTACATTGGCAAGTATTTAAGGTTTCATTGGGAGTTAGAATTAGAGGAAGCAGGGAGTGAGAGGCTCTTTGAGAAGCTTTATCTCGTTTCGATGGGCCACCTTAAACTTTCATTTCGACTGTTGCAACACGATTGAACTTGGCCACCTCCCCTAGTGTCAGTTCTGCTCATTAGAGTAGTCTTATCCTGACAGCGTGGGTGTATCCAGTTGCTATTGTCTTCGTCGTCACAGATTGTTACTTTAGTGGAGCTGTATGAACTTGACCTGAAATCTGTGTGATTCCATCTACTTCTTATTTTACGATGTTGGGAAAGTATAGTCTTGTCCTTGCATGAGAGGGTCGTCGATTGTACAAGATTCTTTCTCATGTGTGCACTGTACAACATATGAATTTCTCAGATATTTAACTTCTTGGAAGTGAAACAATGGTACTCATGACAAATTCTATTGCATCTTTGTGGTCTTGTTCTTCTGATAACTATCTTCTTTTGTCACTGTTGGAGTTTGTCATATTTGATTATACCATGTCTGCATAGTCACATGCATAATTATGTATAGTTACTATTCACGTTAGCAACCTAATGAATGGTTTATCTTAACTTAATGTGTGATGCAGTTGGTCCTTTCAAGAGTGCTCATGCAAGTCTTTGAATTGGTCATTTGAACAATCTTGAAGAAAGTGGGATCAGAATAAATGGATTCAGTACCTGCTGATCCATCAGCAAAGTCTCCTGAGAGACAACCCACTGCTCCAGTAGATTCCGGATCAGATACTTCTGCGCGTGATGTTCCATCTAAGTTGTCTTCTTGGGCTAGAAGTTTCAAAATCCCTCAGCAGTTGACTACCACAGTCGACGATTGCCCTACTGGAGGTGCTGGAAAATCAACTTTTTCACGCTTCACAAGTGGTTTCGGGTTGCGGTCATCTCCAAAATCACCTCCAGCAGATGAGGGTCATGGACCTGAAGCGGCTTCTGGCTTCATTGGAACAATTACCAAAGGTTTAGTTGATACATCTAAGAATGCAGTGAAAGTGGTACAAGTCAAGGCTCGGCATGCTGTTTCTCAAAATAAGAGGAGATACCAGGTATGGAAGAGATGCCAAGACTTCTTTCCTTATATTTAATACTCTACTCCATGATGTGGTAGTCATCATACTTCACCTGTTAAATTCAGTATGTCCATCCATATATTGCAAAGAAAACATATGGTATGCTTAATTTTGTTCATTTTTTATTATAGTGTCAAGAGAGCATTGATTTTTTGTGTCACGAATCATCAGCATCTAAAGCCATTGCACTAACTCTGGCTTTCAAGAGATCGGACCTACTTTCTTACTTGATGTTGACGAAAATAATTCATAATCTGCTTTATCCCTTAATATTCTATTGTTATTTCTTCTTTTCAGGACGGGGGATTTGATCTCGACATGACCTATATCACTGAAAATATAATTGCTATGGGATTTCCTGCTGGTGATATGAGTTCTGGTTTTTTTGGCTTTGTTGAGGTAAGGAATCTTATCTACCCTCTTTCAGTCTTGAGCTGTTTTCAACCAGTACGCATGGATGAGCTGTTCAACTGAATGCTGCAGGGGTTCTACCGTAACCACATGGAAGAAGTGATAAAGTTTTTCGAAATGCATCACAAGGTAATCATATGTTCAATATTTTTGGAATTGAATCCTGTCTAATGATTGTGCCAGCAGTTGGTTATTCTGTGGGATTACATATTCAATTGTTTTTCGATATGACAATCCAGCTAGCCCTTATGTTTTTAGTAGCGGTGATGTATTTATACTGTTTCTGGACTCTCTTTCACATTCAATATGTATCACTTGACCGGGGTGCTCTGATTCTAATTCTCTTTGTGCTCTGATTCTATGTACCTCATGCTGCAGGCAATATATAGAATATATATCTGCCTCTCCTTATAAGCTTATTCGTTTACTTGCAATTTATTGAAGTCTGTGCTAATCTAACATTATAATCTTCACTCAGTATCCACTGCATCACTGGTTGTAATTGAATACGCTAGGGATAGCAGTGGAACTTGAAGTGTGACCTGTATCTGTTTAATCTGCGTTCTTTATGTTTAGTGTCTGAGGGTGAGCTGGTTTACTCTTCATACAGGATAAGTACAAAGTATACAACCTTTGTTCTGAGAGGCTTTATGACGCATCATTATTTGAAGGAAAGGTGAGTGTTCTTGATTCTTCCTTTGCTGTCTTCGTGTTGGAAAAAAATCGTTTCTTCTCTTATGGGTGTTGTGTTGTCCTCTATGATCAGGTGGCTAGTTTTCCGTTTGATGACCACAACTGCCCCCCAATTCAACTGATAATATCATTTTGTCATAGTGCTTACTCATGGTTGAAGGAAGATATTGAGAATGTTGTGGTTGTCCATTGCAAGGCTGGAATGGCAAGGACAGGGCTCATGATTTCTAGCCTTCTTCTGTACTTAAAAGTAAGAATCTGCACATTTCTAAAATAGCTGGATGAGGTATTCAATGAAAAAGTTTCATTTTCCCTAAGAGAAACCAGTTCTTACAAACTACGAGCTTCTCTCTGCAGTTCTTTCCTACAGCAGAAGAGTCCATTGATTACTACAATCAAAAGAGATGTTTTGATGGGAAAGGACTTGTTCTACCCAGTCAAATTGTAAGTGGTTATTGGTATGCTAAAGAATGCAGTCTGCACGGTTATATCTTCAGATTCCATGTTATTTGACACGAAACTTTATGCTCTCTTGCAGAGATATGTGAAGTATTTTGAGCGTACCTTGACATACTTCAATGGTGAAAACCAGCCTGGCCGAAGGTATAATAGTGGATTTGGTCTGGACTCTCACTATTATCATTGTTGTTTTTTCCCCTTTCTAGATTTGCTGAGTTTTTTAATATCATACAGGTGCATGCTGAGGGGATTTCGGCTTCATCGGTGCCCTTACTGGATCAGGCCTGCTATAACTGTTTCTGATCATAATGGTCTGTAATTTTTGTTATGGTTTTCATGTGTTCCTTGTGGAGTCATCGATTAGTATCAACCCTACCTAATCATGCAGCCCAATTTACTGAAATTATTCTTCTTGTATTGGGGTATAAGCTTGTGTGTTACCATCATCTACTTGTATGGTTCTCACCTTGGGCATAGTTGCTAATGATCCCCGCGAGCTAGCGAAGTCTATAGAAGGTTGATTTTTTTAGGGCATGTGCTCATCTATAGTAGTCAACGCCTACTACGAAAATTCCTACGGGATGGAAATGTACATGTTTGATATAGATAGCTATCCAAGAATGAGCAGATTGCATGAATCCAAGGTCAAGAAAAAGAATTTTTATATGATACCTATGTCGATTGATGACTGCTGCTGCTGTTTTGTCCTACTGCAGGTGTTCTCTTTTCTACGAAAAAGCATTCGAGGACCAAGGACTTGTCGGTAGGCCTTATTAGTACTTGGAACTTGTTATGTATAGTCCATTTATAGCTCATCTATGCCTTTAGGTGAGCTTGTTATATGTTTTTTATACAACTTGCAGCCAGAAGACTATTGGTTCAGTGCGCCGAAGAAAGGAGTTATGGTATTTGCTCTCCCAGGGGAGCCCGGTCTGGCAGAGGTGGCTGGAGACTTCAAAGTCCAGTTTCATGACCGCCAGGGAGATTTTTACTTGTCTGTATACCTCACCCTGTAAACATATTCTAGATTTCATGTAAAAATATACACATGATTACTGACTTGTTTCATATTTGTTGTATCAGTTGGTTAAACACGACAATGATGGAAAACAGGAAAGTCCTAAACACGGGTGATATCGACGGTTTTGACAAGGTAGGAATTCTTATTCATTTTCCTCCTTAGATGATGATATCCCCTCTGCTTTTGATTCTCTTATAAATCCGCACCTTGATTTTTGGTTCTTCTCAGAGGAAACTTCCATCACCAGGGTTTCAAGTTGAGGTGGTTCTAGTTGATGCTAATAATACCACTGTTCTCCCAGTGCCCCTAAACACCCCCCAAGCAAAGTCCGACGGAGGAGGCTCGAGCACTGTTTCTACTACCTCACCTGATACAGCTTCAGCACCAAGCACAACGGCCCCCTCGATGCAAAGCAAAGACTATGCACCAAACCCCGATAAGGATGATGTCTTTTCAGACAGTGAAGCAGAGGAATCGGTGTCTTCGAAGAGAAAAGGAGATGAAGCGAGCGCAGCACCACAAGCTACTACTGCGGCCGATGTAGGATCTGTTGCCACGCCAGCTACTGCTAAATCGGAGCAACAAGCTGCGAGTTTAACAAAAGCGACGGAACAGGTCTCTCTGGGGAATGCAGCATCCGAGAAACCGGTGCACATTAGTAATCAGCCAAAGGGGGAAAATGACACCTCGAGCATTGGGCATAACAACACGGAGAGCGAGTTCAAAGCAATGGCTGCTGATGCATCTGTGTTCACTTTTGGGGATGACGAAGACTATGATAGTGAATGAAATAAATAAAAAAGGAGTATGACAATCTCCTCTTTTCTTTCTGCACGGTTCTGTACATAATGGTTTATGACAAGTTATAGTAACTTGGTTCGTTGATTCTGGATTTATTGGTCAGTGTAAACAAAATGCAGACTTAAGATGCAAGACTTCCCCTTTGCACCAGCTTGTGTGTATTTGTTTCATTGGATTTTGGAATATAATGTACATAGTTCTATTGATGTACACCGTCCGTCTTAATGAAATCTTAGAAGCTTTTCTCCTGTTTTGAAGAGAATGGAAGTCGTGGATTTGTCCTCACAAGCTCCCAACCTGCTGGTTGCCCACAAGCAAGATGCACTAGACTTGTGCAACCACCATGGTCACTTCCACCTACTTCCGCAAATCATGCTATTAACATAAGAATATACGAGACGAGTCGTCACTCAACAAGTGATATGAATTTTGAATATTTATACAAGAATCGTAAAACTGTATCGGAAGTTGTACCAGAAAAGTCGATAATAGTATATTTTATTTTGAAATCTTGGTTCAATCTTTTCATACTACTAAAAACGGGATACCGATTTAGAATCCGGTAGAACATTTCACCGGTGGTTACGAATTTACATGCTTGTATCACCTTATTAGCTGGTCCGGTTGAAGGCCGAAACGGGGTTAACTTTAAAACCTCCCTCCGATGTCGGCCTAGTTTGGTCAACCGTCAATCACTAGCCCGATAGCTATTTGAGGTTTACCGTTAATGCGTATACTTAATTGCAAGAGTCAAAGTCGATTAATTATATTATTTTGGAAGAAAACTTCCCAACGGGAAAGGGGAAGAAAGAGCGGTGAAACCACCGCGCTGGCCCTGGTGCGGCGACTAGAAGAGGCGCCGCGAAACGGAAGATTAGACGAAAACACGAGACAGCCCACCGCGTGACTGCAGCAATCAATTTTACGCTTTAACGCGGCCGCGGATTTCCCCTTTCCTTTCCCCTCTCTTTCACTTTCTATATAAACAAAGGCACGGCCTTGGAGCTCCAAAGTCAATTTCTCCAGAAAACACATCTACCTTTTCATCGACCTGCGGTTCCTTCTCCAGAAAATACATCTTCCTTTCCATCGACCTGCAGTTCTTTCTCTTCGTCTTCTGAGCAATTCGATGTCGTTCGCTTCTGGGATTCATGGTCAGCTGCTTGAAGTCACTGGTGGGTTTCTTCTTCCCTTTCATTTCCTTTCTCTCTTCGGTTTCAGGGGGCACAAGATTGAACCTTTGACGAATGAGTTATTGCCTTCTTGGGGTTGATTTTTCTGCGTTTGCCGCTTGCAGTTGTTGGGTGTACGAAACTGAAAGATACCGAATGGATTTCAAGGCAGGATCCTTACGTTTGTGTTGAGTATGGTAGCAACAAGTCCCGGACAAGAACTTGCACAGGTAAGAATAATGTGTTCTTGCTTGGATGCGACCTCTGGATGATGATGCAGAACTAAACAAGTTATGGTTGATCTGCTCTAGTGCTAAACTGTTGAGCCATATGTGTTGTGCTTAATAGATGGCGGCAAGAACCCCACGTTTCAAGAGAAGTTTGTGTACACGCTTATTGAGGGACTCAGGGAATTGAATGTCGTAGTTTGGAACAGCAATACATTGACGTTTGACGATTTCATCGGCAGTGGGAAGTGAGTTACTGTTAACTATTTTGGATGATCCTTTTTGAGCATTTTGCCAGTTATTCACATTGTTTTTGGTTTCTGACTGTTTCTCTCAGAATTCAATTGCATAAGGTTCTATCAGAGGGCTACGATGACACAACTTGGCCACTTCAAACGAAAACCGGCAGGTAAATGGCCTCTCTTTGCTACTACATTTTTTAGGTGGTTTACTTTGAGTTCATGTTTCTCTTTCATTGGTTAAAGTTCGTAGGCGAACTGAGTCGAAATTTGCTCAGGTGTTTTATATGGTTTAGAGTTCAGTTTTCCGCTATAACAGATCCTCTTAGCGGTGTCATTGACGTTTGTTGGCATGCGGGCGTGCATAATTCTTGCATTCATTTAACTCGGAACACAATCAAGCTTTAATAATCCTTTATATTGCTACCTGTACCATGAAGATAGTTCCATGTTCGTTTTCTGCTGTAGACTGTAGTACCTTCTTTGCTTCTACTCGTAATTTTTGTTGAATGAAATCAATAGAGGGATGTCCATAGTTCCTGTTCTCCTCTTCTTCTCTGAGAGTGGTTTAATTCCAGTATTGCACCAAGGAATCAAAGACGAGACTGTATGCTATAATTCGTTTGTTCTAGAGCATAGGAGCACTTCGATTGAGTGTTCTCTTTATGGCCTTATTCTAGAGCATAGGAGCATTTCAATTGAGTGTTCTCTTTATGGCCTTATTCAAGACTATGGCACTTGAGCTGTTCGCGTGGTATATCGTCCTTCTTTCAGCTGCAATCTTCTTCTAAGCTCTCAATTTTCCTTCTTTTTTTTTTTGCCAATCCAGGCATGCTGGGGAAGTCCGACTCATAATGCACTATGCCAATGCTAATGTAAGTCTTCTGGTTGTGCACCAAATATACTTAAATTATACCAAAGAACCCTGTTCTGCCAGCCCTCTATTGTGTAAGCTGTATTTATGCTTTGTTCGCTCATTTCGCAGAAACCAGCCACAAGTTACGCTCATTCGGCACCTTCATACGGAACACATGGTCCCCACATCTCAATGTACTCAGCACCACCACCATCAGCATATGCACCACCTCCAGCACCTGCTACCATGGCAGGTTATGGCCCTCCCGCAGCTGCTGCAGGTTATGGCCGACCTCAACCTGCAACCACGTTAGCATATGGAGCAATGAGTACAGCCTCTCCATATGCTAATGCTCCCCCAACAGCACCCTATCCATCACATCCTTACTCCTCGTATCATCAGCCTTCAGCGTATCCTCCATCTCCTTACCCTTCTATGCCAACTTCTTATCCTCCGCCATCTTCAGCTTATCCTCCTCCACCATCAGCCTATCCTCCACCTCCACAAGGCTCGCCTTATCCTCCAGGTAATATGACATGCTGCAGCATTGCTTACCTCCTTTTCTTCATGGTCATTGTTGAACTAATCTTCTGTTTGCTAACATTTGTTTCTTCTCTTCGTCATGTAGGCCCTCCTGGATATTATCCTCCTCCGCCATATTAGGGGTGAAGAAGTTGGGTCTGCCCGGCTGCCCAAAGCGAAATGTAAAATCGAACTTGAATCCTCAGTACATAGAACTAGGAGCTTTAGCTGTGAGGACTGTTGTCATGAATATTTGTTGGTTGTATTGTTTTGGTAAAACAATTGACATCAAATTCTGGAGAAGGGCTTTGCAGATATTTTCACCCTCTTTTCTTCTCTGATATTCAATGTTGATGTCAATCAAATTCTTTGTTCTGTTGAGATTCATATATTTGTTTATGTTGTTTCATTGTGTGATTTTTCCCGAAGATCGCATTTTTAGGACAGAATGTATATTTGATGTGCGTCCTTTTCCTTTTAAAGCGTCCTTGAGGGATTAGAGAGAGAGAGAGCTGTTTTTGCTCAACACTTTTTGAATTATAAATATTTAGCATTGTGTGCGTGATGAAATGGCTCGTAAGGTTAGCGAGACAGAGCAAGAAGCTGACTTTAGTTGTGTGATTGGGTGCTGTTTAACCCGCCATCAAAAGCAGGGTTACATCATCCCTCTTCTTCTGCACAATTGAGATGGACTGGTGCAAGTGTTATGTTTGTCATTGCCTTCCCCGCTTCTAATGATGGTTACTACTGAGTACTTTCTTCGTTCACCCGGTCACAGATGAGCTGTCTTTGTTCGAACCCGAATCTTGAAGAGTTTGGAGAGGGATATCTCACTGAACACCAAACCCATTCTGGCACACACTAAAAGCTCGAGCAATCGATGCCTATAACCCATTAGGATTTCGAAGCTTTGAAGGCCAACTGTTTCGATGGCGAAACTCGCGTGTTCAATGTGCTCTGTTTTCAAGGAAACACAAAACACAAAGTCAACACAATCGTCAAATATCCACCGTCGAATTTCGGCGCCGTTGATTTGATCGATTAAATAGAAATCAAGACGACCGTCAAATATCCACCGCCGGCGTCGGCGATGTTGATTTGATCGATGCACCTTTGACTTCTAACCAAGAACAACCGTTACTCGGTTCAGCACCTCTCCGAACTAAGTTCGAACGAGGGTGTTCGACGAGAAACCAATCCAGGAGTGTTCTAAGTTACGTTACCTCTATTCCTATGGAGGTTCCTCTAGAGAGCTCCGCGACTACGGCTACGGTCTACGACTACTACGACTCTGCAAAGGAGGTCTTTGACAGAGAAGTTCTACGAAACTAGAGGAAAAAAAGGGCAAGTCTGCGACGGTGTAGTTTGAGCTTTGAATTTGCCGTCTCCAATTTCTCTTTCTTCCTGATGTTTATACCGCAATCTTCTGCTCGTAGTCGTAGTAACCGTCTTCGCGCCTTTGTCTCTCACGTCTTCATTCCTGTCAACCGTGCGGGTAACTTCCTCCTTGTTGCGTGATAATCACGTGTCCCCGAAACCGTTCCGCTACGCAGAAACTTGGCAAAACGACGTTGAGCCAAATTCTACAACCTTGTTCATGCAACGATGCCGTCTCACCCCCATTGAATAAACCTCCTTCGTTCATAATGTCGTTCTCATCATCCATGACAATATCACGAACCTTGTGGTATTGTTTTTAATCACATGACGTCGCTCACCAATACCACGGCATCACTTTTCACTAATCGATGCCGACCTTGAACTACCTCATCTCGGTCCCACCAAATGGTTTTTCATTCCGCGATATTGTTTTCTACCGAACGGTACCGTTTTTGTCGTCTTGCGGGCTTGCCGGGCCTCGCCAAAATTCAACCCGCTGTGGTATGATTTCTAACTAAACGACATCGCTAAGTAATATCGCGGCGTTGTTAATGCCTTAAATGATGTCGTTTTTAGCTAAACAACAACTCTTGATTCTACCAGCGACATCGTTTTAATATTAAATGCTAACGCTGCTGTCCTAACTACAGCGAGATTTTTGGGCTTACTCGCGGTATCGTTTCCTTCCCCAAAACGACTCCGTTTGCTTTTTCTCCGCGACATTGTTTTATATTAAACACTGTCGTTTTCTTATCCGCGGTATTGTTGATACCCCTTGCGGCATCGTTTTCAACTAAACCACGCCGTCCTAAATAATCATTAAAAATATTAATTAATTAAGCGGGCCATCATTGTTGACCTGCAGTCAAACTCGTGTGTTGACCAACGACATCGTTAGTGCCAAAACGGCTCCGTTTGCTATTCCTTTCGCGACATTGTTTTTTATTTTAAACACTGTCGTTGCTAGTATAACGGTACCGTTGGGCCTACTCGCGATACCGTTGGGCCTACTCGCGGTACCATTTTCTAATCCGCGGTGTCGTTTTACCCATCCACGATGCCGCTTGTCTCCACGCAATATTGTTTCTCTCCCCTTCCGACAAGGAATGGGAAAAAAACTCATTTTCCATCAGCAACACTAACCGCGCGGCCCATATCTTGTTTCCGGCAAACAATGTCGTTTCAAGTGTCGCGGTACCGCTGAGCTTCCTTGCGGTACCGTTTTCATTCTCCGCGATGCCGCTCAACTCCAAACGACACCGTTTTTTATCCGCGGTATCGAATTAAATGCCCAAACTAATTAATGCGGCATTTAATTCGGGTCAAAATAATTTTAGGTGTCAACAAATGCCCCCAACAATTTGGTTTATAAGAATTATGAACCAAATTCTTGACACAATTCAATCACCTAAAATAATCTCAATTAATAATTCAAACAGTTGGCCATGAAAACTAGTGTCCATAATGAAACTAGTATTGCAAAATTTAACTTACCACCAACATTGGCACGACATGTCATGCTGCCTCGAACCCTCCGCAGCCGCCAAATCATCACTTTGCAACCCTGCTTGCCCCAGTCTCCAGCACCACAAATAGTCAAATACTCCCAAATATGTTTGGCGCCTCCAAATTACCAACGGCTCTGCTCTACTTCCTTTACATGCTAGCATTATAAAGCACATTTAGGACCACAAACAAGTTTGGCCAACTAACAATTCTCCGTAGGACTAATTTTTTGGGCCATATCATCTTCTCCTTGTGATAAGCTTTGGCCCAAAGAAAAAACTGACCACGCCACTAAAACCCTTTAATACAACAATTCCATATTTATTTATTATTATTATTATTATTATTATTATTATTATTATTATTACTTTTTTATTTTTTATGGCCACTTGCCTGCAACGTTGTTTGCACTCCTAAATTGTGGCCTTTTTCCTTTTCACCAATCTGCAGCGCCGTTTTGGCCACAACTTTTCATTGCTTTCTTCCTTTCTCTTTTTGTTAAAACAACCTCGTTTTCCTCCATCAACAGCTCCGATTTTTCCTTATCACTCCCGCTCAATAGCCCTACTATTTTTTAAAACACTTGTGTTTACCATTACCGCAGCTCTGGCCTATTCTATACTAAACGGCATCGTTTCCTTTCTTCTTCTTTTTTCAATCACCAACAGAGCTGTTAGAATCCTAAACTAGCCACAACATTGTTTGGCCGAAACGGTCACAATTTTTTATTTATTTAAAACCAACGGGTTTGGCTTTGATGAAATTCTATCTTATTGTTTTTTGGCCATGTAAAATACTCTTTTTACTTCAGCCGCACCGTGCCCCCAAACAATGTTGTTGAGAAAATAACAATAAATTGGCACCAACAGCTTTGCATTATGGCTTGGGCCAAAACGATGAGGTTTGGCCCTTCTTTCCTGATTATAGAATTACACCAACTCTATTCCAACGACGTGATTATGTCGTCGTTGGCCTCTACTTTTCAATGTGTAATAATCAAAATAGCTGAATAAGCCGAGTAGCATGATTTTCCTACACTCAACCAACATTACATAATAATCACGCCTAAAACAACCACTAAATTCATTCAGAAATGCAATTAACTCATACCTGAGTACCGCCCAATCGGCACTGATGAAGATTGCACGTGGATCCTCCTCCACACCAAGATTGATTTCTTCCACAATGTTGCAGACAGCAACACTGCTTCCTTCTTCCACCTCGTGACTCAGTTCCTCGCCGCTGGTCGACAAGTCATCATCATCGGGAACGCAGTCGGCCATCAAGACAAGCTCCATGCAGACAAGTCTCTGTTCACACTGATAGATGACCAACTTCTCCCGCAAGGCCGTGATTTCGGCCTCCACCACCTTCTCTCGAGGTGGTTCACTCATCATCGACTTGTTCATCAGATTTCAATGGACCATCTAATGTGATCATCGATGGTCTCACGATTTCGGACAATGGGTCCAAGCACGCCTTACTCAACACCTTTGCACTTGACACTATGACGTTGGACGTTCCTCCAGCCCCGCTCCTGATTTCAAATGGTCCAAAATCTTCATGGTACAAATAAGCTTCAGCCACATTGGCCCCAACGGCAAATGGCTTTGTGTCAGCCTGTACCACCTCAACGACACCGTCTTCATTCCAATGCATCAAACACTGATGCAGCAATGAAGGAACGCACTTGTTGGCGTGAATCCAATCCCGGCCAAGTTGTGCGTTGTAGCTTATCATCCCATCCACCGCGAAGAAAGCGCTCATCCGCTTCTGTGATCCAACTCCCACGACGACTGGGAGGATTCCCCTGACAGAAGTAGACTCGCCACTGAAGCTTGTCACAAACACTTCCGTTGGGATCAAGTCATTAGTACTCTTGCCCAACTTTCTCAACATCCTTGTTGGCATCACATTTACTGCGGCGCCATTGTCAACTAAGACTCTCGACATTGGTACGTCATCAAGTGTGGCCTTGATGTAGAGTGGCGTCAAATGTCGCAGCATCTTTGGCTCGGGCTCGTTGAAAACAACGACCCTGTTTGACTCTTCACTCGTGGTTCCTTCATCCACAGCTTTCCCTTTCGCTTCTGCAATCCGGATAGATTTATCCACCTCGTCGAACTCTGATCCCCACGTGATGTTCTCCACTGGCACACTTGTTGACTCTTTCGGACCTTGGTACAATACGTAAAAAGGATATCTTCCCCCATCTTCGCCCAGTAGCCCAACACCCCTGTGGCCTGCTTCGTACAACTCTTTTAGGATCCACTGCGAACTCCTGTTCCGCTTGGCTGACTCTACTGCCAAATCAATTCGGCCATTTAGCGAGCCATCATTGCACTCTACGGCTCAGCCTCGATTGGCAGATCCGCCGACTCGCCAACTAGCTCTGCCGTTGCTGGCTCCTCATTCTCCTCCTCTAAATTCAGTTGAGCAAAACAGTTCACCAGCTCAGCAATGTTGACCTCTTGAGCAGCTTCGTCGACCTCTTCA